ATCTATATATATATATATATATATATATATATATAGGTAACTTAGACTTTTCACACGGAGCCATTTTAAGGGATTGTCTACATAGAGACCACATATCTTTTGTACATGGAGATCGCACTCATTTTTCTCTCATAAATTTCAAAATAGTTGGTATTAAGAGTATCATTGAATAGACACAAAAAAAAAATTCGAACTTATGACTCACCCAAGCCATTCATTTTGACATCTAATGAGTGAGAATGATTGTGACTCACCACGTTTTTTAAATTGTCGAAATACTTATATTCTTGAATGAGTTTGTTGTTGATTAAGGGTGGGAGCATCCCTCTCTCTCGCCAAATCATCAACCACACTCATGGGACAAACAATTGAGTTCTGCCTGCTCTCTTCAATCTTGTAGGCAAAGAGAAACTAGTCCTTTACGAGTTCATGGCCAATGGAAACCTCCACCAATGGCTTCATGAGCTCCCTAGTGGTGACCCCAATGTCGAGGACTGGAGCATGGACACGTGGGAGCAACAGCAGCAAATCAACTCTTCGAATTTCCTCCCCTCCAACCCTGAAAAAATGGGCTGGCTCACCCGTCACCGCATCGCCGTGGGCATAGCCCGAGGCCTTGCCTTCCTCCACCATGCAGGCTCTCGACCCACACCTCATGGTCGGGTTGAGCCCACAACAATCCTTCTCGATGAGTCCTTCGAGCCTAGGCTTGCTGGCTGTGGGCTTGGTTCACTTGGATCTCAGGCCACTGAGTCATCGGTTGAGGCTGATGTGTATGCATTTGGGGTTGTTTTGCTTGAGCTGGTTACTGGGATGATGGGGTCTGAGGAGATAGTGGCTTGGGTGAGGGGGCTGGTGAGAGCAAAGCAGGTGATGAAGTTGATCGATGAGAGGCTGAAGAGGGTGGGGCCAGTGGGGGAGATGGTGGAGTGTGTGTGGGTTGGGTATTTGTGTACTGCTGAGGTGCCGGAGATGCGGCCCACCATGCAACAGGTGCTCGGCCTCCTAAAAGACATACGCCTCGCTTCATGAAGATCATCTATAAGAGCTGTAAAGCTTCTGTTGGCACGGTTAAAAACACAGCTGAGCATCCTTTTGCAGGTCTAGTTGTTACTTCCTTTTGAAATTGTACATTGATGCGGGCGGCATACACAGTACCTCGTATGTAAAATCAACTGTCCATTTTGAATGAAAGCTAATCGAGACGTACCATTCCTCAGCTTGAGTTATCCGATTATCTGCCTGACTGGAAGAATGCTTCATCTCGCAGATTCGTTGTTGAGACCGACAATTGAGATTACATCTGGAATGCTGCTTGTATGCATAGAATGCATCATATTCCTTTCTCTTTTATGTTGCAACCATTATGGGGACTCAACTCTATGGGTAGGGCATCCGGCCAACCAGTGGATAAACTAGTTACCATTGTACTGATGCTATCCTCTGACATAATGTGATACAATCTCTCTTGCAGGCATTCTTTGTTTACTTCCATGTGCTTATGGAGCACTAGCATTTGTTTTTTTTTTCTTTTTTTTGGGTAAATCAGTAGGGGGAGAAGGTCCCCTACTCGGTTTTCAATAATCCAAGGTAGAAAAAATTACATCATACTATTTTACAACCTTGCAGTAGGGTAATTGTGCCGCATCATGAAGCTGCTAGATGGATTTCACATTTTTGTTACATGAGTAGTGTGGAGAAATAAAACAGACAAAAGAAAGATTGCATGCTTCTTTTAACACACGATTTGTAAAGTTAAAGAAGCCTCCAATTTGTATGTCGTTCAATTCTAGAGATGGCTGTTTGACATGTAAATCTTGGTAATCCACGAGGATCAACTCTATCGTTCATGTTATATGGACTTTGTGCCGAGGCTTTTAAAACCCGAAATGGGGTTCAATATTACTCACAACTATGCCGATGAACCAGATAAACAAATTGCTTAACAAAAAAAAAAGAAGGTATGGGCGATTCCAGGGAGGACATGGATCGTCCACACACTGAATTTGATCTGCATGGGCACTTTTCAATCGGGATCACGGAGTATGAAAACTTGGAGTGTGCCCAATCAACATTAAAAGTGCATAGGTGCAACCATTGGAAGAAAGCCTCTCTGACTATATACCAGTACTCTCAAGTACGTATAGGAATTTCTTTGATCTGTACTTAAACCAAAAAAACAAAGGGAAATTTTTTTTTTTCAAGTTGACATGCTAATTAAGTAAAAGCTAAACATTCAGTTGTCATGCATGTATGCCCCCTACAGTCCTTTTAGAGTGTGAATCAATTTTGTTGATGCGAACCATTTTGCAACGATTCAATATTAAAATAATATTTCGCAGTTTATATTTTCAATAGGCTTCTCAAGCTGATCATCAAGAAAAGCGATTGCATAACTTGTAAACAAAAGACAAAACACGGTTACTTGAAAAAAAACTAGTTCCCGCGCCCCCATATATACCTCTTTAGTTTAATCTTTTTTTTTTTTGGCAAGAGTGTCAAATATTATTTAAATCATAAAATCATTACAACCATAACAGCAAAGAAATTACAAAAAAAAAACCAACATTAGAACAAAGAAAAAGAAACCCTTAACAGAGGAAGGGATGCCCTCTCTATATATATGGAACAGAGGAAGGGATGCCCTCTCTATATATATGGTTGAAGGTAATGTTGCTGCCAGCAGATAATTATTAAATGTGCAACCAAATATATACCATACGCCAAGGTGTAATAGATAAGTAGTTACACCAGTCCATCGCATTCTTAGAGTCCCCCAAGCTCATCTCCTTCCATAGCTCGATACCTTGTAGGACCGCTGCCATTTCAGCATAGTTCGCAGTAGCATTACCACACGGTCCTGCAAAACAGAAAGCTAAATTCCCACTTGAGTCCCTGCTTACTCCACCTATCCTAACCCTACCTAGATTTCCCATAAAAGAGCCATCAACATTCAATTTAAAGCAACCACTCAAAGGAGGCTGCCTGCTGCTTCTTGGCCTCACCTTAATAACACTCAAAGGAGGCTGCCTGCTGCTTCTTGGCCTCACCTTAATAACACTCAAAGGAGGCTGCCTGCTGCTTCTTGGCCTCACCTTAATAAATCTTAACAAGATTAGTTGATCAAGATTCTCATCTACATCCATTCTTGAAGTTCTCCATCCTTCTTTAGTAATTCTAAACCAATTCCATGTATTGAGTAAGATCTTGTTCTCTACGGTTGCCAAATCCACCGCCACACCTTCAAAGGTCGTCCTATTTCTTTCAAGCCATACTTCCCATAACAATGAACCACGAAACATATTCCAAAGAATTCCCCCAACCCTTGGAACTCCAACAATTTTCAATTGATTCACAATATGCCAAACAGATGAAGGGAGATTCATAGAAAACCCAACTTTTTGCAAAGCTCAATACCAAAGTGCAGAAGTAACCGGACAAAGTAAAAACAAGTGATCATGCGTTTCCGCATCATTTTTACCAAAAAGGCAAACATTACTCGTTTTCGCAAATTGTCCCCTGTTAAGCATTTACTTTGTGCCAAAATCCAAACAAAAGCCTGCACTTTATGAGGGATTTTCCAACTCCATATATCTTTTAAAAAAGGCTGATTCCATCTTACACGATCATGGAACTCTTTAGGTTAATCATTCTTCAAAGTTATCTCATGAAATGTTGCTAAGGCCCTCACGGGAATGGGGTCGAGGCACCGGTGGTTATGGGGCAGTTACCTAACATTATGTCCTACCCAATGTTTAAAAAAACAGTTCGGTGACTCGAGCCGGCCTCACCCATACTTGTGTTGGATCGGTAGATAAGAGAATCGGCCAAATCAGTAATTTTTGTCCTCAAAAGTTTCAAATAATCACTATAAATGTCTAAAAATAGTGTTATTTTAGTTTTTAAAAGAAATTAGGGGTGATGCATTGTGTACTTTCGTGATTTTATAAAAGTAGGGGAATACTGAGATGTTTTCCTGTCTGGATGCCTGTATAATTATCAATTATAATATTGCATCAAAATAGCTTAAATATAAGAAAACACTTTCACATTATAAGATTAAAAACATAATTTCCCATATAAAGTGAAATTAGTATCACACCAAAGTATCAATCATGTATTAATGCGCTTTACTTATCCAAAATTATCTCAATCTAATTAACTATAATATTATATATTGAAATTGAAATTGTTAGTTTATATTGTATAATTATTCTGCTATACAAATAATTGTATAAGAATAAAACTAAAATGTGCTATAATATCATATAATTTAAAAAAATCTTATTTATAACTATAAGAATAAAAAATACATTACATAATTTATAATACAAATAAATTAATAAATAAAATACATGATTTGGTTATCAATGTGTAGTATTAACTATAATATTATAAAAAACATGATTAAAATTTATTGGAAAATGCTTTCATGTCATATAACTAAAAAGAATAAAGCCCTCTAAATGTTAATATTATAACATTAAAAAAATTCAAATAAATATTTTACCTTAAAAATAGAATAAAAAAAATAAAAAATAGCCTGTCGACAACACCCACAGCAGCTATATATATATAGAGAGATGGATGCCAAAGAGAGAGAGAGATAGGTTGTTAGGGGAGAAAGAGATGAGCGATAAGGGAATTAATTTGCACATAGAGAAATAGAGAGAGCGATGGATGCCTAGGAGAGATAGATAGGTTCTTAGGGAAGAGAGAGAGGGGTCCAAACAAAAATTTTGGCATTTGCGATGAAGATTTTATGGAACCTCCAAATCAAAAAACATGGGACTATTTTATTTAAATAAACACCAAACTATTTTCTTTCGCCTTTTACTATATAGAGTATATTCCTCAGTAAATTACTAGTGAAGAATTAGGAAGTTTTCAGCAACAATTTTGCATAACGCTTGCCCCATCCCCAATGGCAAACAAACTGACCACACGAGAGTTGCGCAAACTTCGCTTCACTAGAAGAGCATATACTCAGGCAAACCATGACTAACTGGGACTATTTGTCCCTTAAAAGAACCATTAAAAAAACATTTAATGACATATAAAAAATATTTAATGACGTGAGAATCAGTGAGATGTCTGATTCATGAGGTAATGATACTGAGTTAGGACGTAATGTGGCGAATCCCTGTTGAAAATCGTCTTGATACTATTTTTCAAGTGGGCCCGGATGGGTGCCACCGACATCCGATCCGGATCAAGTCACCGATTTTTCAAATACTCGTCCTACTCTCTATTCAAAAGATAAAAAAAAAGAAGTAAAAGGAAATATACAAACCTCATTTGCATTCTACAGGGAAGCATTGGTTAGATGATCATTTTATTTTGTTTGGAGGAATGATTCTTGTCTATTGTTGACCTCAGATAATTAGGGAGCTAGTAGTACTTTGTTTTAGTTTTCTATTTTATTTTATCTTTTTTATGGAAATGCATACAACAAGGCCATTTACTTTTTGTATAAAGAAGCCATAATCAATAATGACCATTAGATGTAAAATTGGGTGGCTGGGGGTGTGTCAGTACTTGTGCACAAAGTTAAAAATCTAGTTTCACAAACTATGTGATTATCTTTAAGTTGTCGGATTTTATATTTAATGGCTACAAGTGATTGTGGCCTCCTCGTAATAAAAATGAATGGTCTTATAGTATACAATCCCCATTTTGATAGCTAGCAATAGGATTTAAACCTTGGATGCTTTAGCCACTGAGCCAAGAGCCTGTGCCCACCGATGCTTGGTATATGATACAATGTTATTTAATTATGAGAACTCGCTTGGATTTGATTGGTTAAGGTATTGCTGATTGCGAGACTATGTTTTTTTCCTACAAACTGCCACCCAAAAAGGGACCATGCTCCTAAATGAAGCCCTTCGTTAGATCATAACACTCATACCTCCCGTGAATCATTTTCCTTTAATTTTACTTTATATAAAACCTATATGGATACAATCCTACCCCCAAACTTAATGTTGCATGACTAATATTTACATGCAGACCTATTTGGATTAAATTTAAGATCTCCCCACTCAAATCATTGTTTAAAATAAACAAGGATGAAAAATAAAAGAAATAGGGATCATCAAATTATGACCAACAGAAAATAGATCTCACATTCTCTTTGTTGTAGGGCGTAGGCTGCACAAGCAATATTGTTCTTTGAATTAACTCAACAGAAACATATAAGAATTTAATAACACTTAAGATCTATAGTAAATGATGCATAAATGAAAAAAAAAAGTACCTGAAATAAAGAAAACAAAGGTCAGGCTCACCAAGCAAGACCATCAAGCACACCTAGTGCTAGTGCCTGGATTAGACTAGCATAATTGTGTCAGCCTTCTCCATTTAAAAAGTGTTACTAATTGAAATTGAAGTGAGAATGGATGCTTCCTTGGATGTTGGATTAAGAACTATGAAAAAATGTTGCTTAAATCTTCATCCAATGCTTGAAATGACATGCATGTAAGTGTGGAGTGCATTTTTGGGTCGCAATACAAGGCCGTGTACACGTAAACAATCTGCACATAAAATCCAAGAGGTTGCCTTTGAAGATCAGTGTTAGGTGGACGCCAAGCCTATATATGCCTTGCAGAAGGTGGGTCATTATGCAAGACCAATAAATATGATTATTGGGAATCTATTTGCAAGACATGCTCCAAGTACGATAATGGGGGTATGATGAAGCCAAGGCATGCCAATCCCGACCATCTGTCAGCCTATATCTTGACTCCTGATTAGTTACAAGACTATCAAATCATCTTGGTTTGAGACCAACTCAGGGACTCATATTCCCTAAGGCCCCTATATGCCTTTTCTACACGATATTGTAGGAGTTTGGAAATATATGGTGCGATATGTATTCAAAAATCTGTCGAATATTAAAGATGGGTTTGACGGCCATACTATGCGAAACTTCTTCAAATCATATCAGAATAATGTGTAAGCTTGTAGATATATTTAATGAGACATCATGCCTTTGGTCCAAGAATCATATAAATTGGACATCATTTAGCCCATTATCCAGAATTCGTTGAAGGCCAAGATATGTCTTGACTAATGACCCTACCATGATATTTTAGGAATTGATTCACAACTCTTGGAAAACCATATTTGAGGCATTATATCCCTCATCCCAGAGTTTCAAGTCATTTGGAAATGATTTGAGCTCTCATCTATATCCATTGGCAGCTAGACCCTTATACGTCATCTGCCAGGCAGATAGCTAAGATGGCCTCCGGCCACTAAATATGAGATTTTTCCCAAACCTATAAGGAGTTTTCTCATGAGACTTAGATCATTGAATTCCTAACTCAATTCCCTATCAACTATGTGAGGGCAATAGCCTATGAGTTCCTAATTTGATATGGGCTAGCATTGCTACAATAATTATAATACTATACAGAAGTTTGACCGTTGGTCTTTCATATCTCCCAATGTATGGAGAATTTTGAGCCCATATGGGGTTGTGGCTTATAATTCCCTCTACAAGATTATCAAGTCCCCAGGGTCCATAGTTCCTTGTGTTGAAAGCGGTTACCTTGCAATACTCAGATATGCTATTGCAATTTGAAGCAGAAATGAGACAACTTCAACGAGCTGTATCTCCCTCGTTATTGATCTATTTGAAGTGACATTTGGACTGTTGTGTTTGTCTTTATATCCTCTATCACCATGCAAAATTTCACAATGAGAAGATTCATCATAAAAATCGGCAGTAAAAATAATTTGGTATGCCAAAACTACCCTGCAGTTAACCACCTTTCCTCGATTTTCTCATAAGATGGCATGTCAAATCTCTGTAGTTTTGAGTTTAAATTCAAATATCTTGATACTTGAGCTTAAATGTGATTAGAACTTATCATCAAAACCACCCAGATTTGAATTCGAACGTGAATCTATGTTTATCCTATCGGTTTTCACTCGAGGATCTAATTAAACCTGATAGATTTCTATCCTTTATCATCTAGAAAGTTATTTAAACGTACTTTTTAGTGAGAGAGGGGACTGATCGGAAAGAAGCTAGTCTTTCCAACACTCACGCCTTAAAGTCCATTTTGTTACACTCAGTGAAGGAGACAAGCCCATGATAGTGCTACCCTTCTCTTGCGTGCAAGTACAAAGAGAGAACACTGGAGATCACACACTCACTTGAATCCTTAGAGTATGAGGACCAAGACGTGGTCAGTACACCGTGCAAATATTCAGGTATATAGGCATATGCGCTCCTTGGTATTGATCTCCCTCATAGTTCGTTACATTTTCTTTCGTAAAGTCTGTAAGTATTTGTTTCAAGGCTCAAATCAAAAGGTATCCGGCCTTGTGTTAAGGATTGATGTATATTGTAACAGGAATTGGAAGTTCTTGGAACTCC